AGTAAATATGGCATATAAATCACGTATGTGAAGCTCCAAAAGAATGACTGCATGGAGGTAGATACGGATTTATGCAAAAGTATGGTGCTTTAGAGGTATTTAATCTTTTTAATAGTTAAATAGTTAATAGCATCTACCATCACCCATGACTTTTCCTGTAATGTCTATAAATAGTGTGAATAATGGCCCAAGACAAAAAAGTCTTCCTGCCAGCCACCAGTCCCCAAGGATTGATCTGGGGTGCAGTTGTTACTATCTAAAATGAAACAAAAGATAAAACAAACATTCAAGAACAGATTTTTTTCAGCAAAATTTCTAAGAAGTTGGCCCAGAAGCATAATACAAAATTAATCCCCAAATGATCTCCCAAAAAAGTGTTTGGTTTTTTTTTCCTGTAAGAAGAATTTGACTGTTTTTTCTCTGCCAAAGCAGTTCATCTCTCACAGACGTATCCTGGAAGTTAGCTTGCAAGACAAAGCCATTACAGTGTCATAATCTGATTAACTGGAAATAACTGAAAGGGAAGAAGGAAGGGTGTCATACCACCTAATACATACAGTGCCATTTGATCAACTTTTTTGATCACTGTTGATGCAAAGAAACCTGTGGGCACTTTGATGTACCTCGTTTTATCAAATCCAGATCTTCTAAAATGGGGACTCGGAGTTGAAATTACATTGAGATCCAATACAGGAGAGAAAATACTAACTTCTGCATTCCTACAAATCTGTTCCACTCAGATGTTAATAAGCTGCTGCAGCTTTTACAGTGTCCAGTTCAAGAACATGATGCAAATTTTGCTGAAGTTTTGAACTGCAGTTTTGAAGAGTTCTGTGATCCATGCAAAGGTGCTGCCACACTACTTCAATGAAAGCCAACATTTTTACCCACTGATGCTGTTCAGATGGTTAGAAGTAAAGGCTTGATTTCAAAGAGTAATATTAAGCATTTAATTCATTTCTTGGTAACGGGTATTTGCAGCACAGGGAAAAAAGTCACTAAATAATTTCTTCCAAGCTCTTCCTCATCCTACTTCAAGCTCTCCCCTTATTTGGGGAATGAGTTTGAATCAGCTACATGTTATTCAACTGCTGTGTCAGCAAATATGCTGTCATTAAGAGTCTCTTGATAATGAAGAGCTCAGTCTCCTCATCTGCCTAGTGAGGAGACCAAAGCACTTTCACCTGGTTCACATAGCATATTATTAACAAAATGAGGAGGAATCCTGCAAGGTTCACAATCTCAGATGAGATGAACACTTGCCCACTACAAATTTGATCTATTTGAGAAGAAACACAGGTAACTGCATCCTTACACTTGGTGAGGGAACTACACTCTGATTGATGGTACCAGAGACCACCAAGGTAGGTGCCAACGTTTCATGTTTTTTGTGGGGGGTTTTCTGGTGTGAGGTTTTGTTGTTTTTTCTTTTTCTTCCATGGAGTTTTTTTGTTTGGTTGGGGTTTTTAAATTTATTTATTTTTATTTTTAATGATACAAGTGAAGTCTCAAAGTCTGTATGACAAGTACACAAGGAAAGAAGAGGACTGGATTTGGCCTGCTATCACCATCCCTAGTATTTTTACGATTAAAAAGATGAAATCATAAGCAAGGTCTTTAATAATAAACAACAATAATTTGAGACTAGGTAGGCCCAGTTTCAATGTTTAAAACTAACATTGTGGATGCCCCCTCCCTGGAAGTGTTTAAGGCCAGGCTGGATGAGGCTTTGAGCAACCTGGTCTAGTGGAAGGTGTCCCTGCTGATGGCAGGGGGATTGGAACTGGATGAGCTTTAAGGTCCCTTCCAACCCAAACCATTCTGTGATTCTATGATTCTAATTAGTAGCATGTTTTCCACACTTGACTTTCAGGATACTTTCTTTATAAGTACTGTTTCTATACCAGTTCTCTCTCCTTGACAATGATGCAGTCTTTTCTCAGATCTTAACAACTTCTATTAGCAAGATTAATATAAATTAAATGCAGCACCATTTCCCCTCTCCATTCAGATTTTTACTGATACGATTTTTATTGGCAATATCTTCTGAGTACAAAGGCAAACGGTCATCTGATGAGGGTAATATTTTTAAGCAGCAGCTATAATTGCAGTAAAGGATGTTGAATTGATTATTCTAGAGACAGATCTATTAGATACAAGAGCAGATACAAGAGGTATAAAGACTGTACAAGGTGCTACATTCCTGCCTGTGACTTTAAAAATAATATGGGGACAATAATTGCTCTGAAAAAGAAATTGTTCCAAATTTCTATTTGCATTCAATCTTCTGCATATCTGCTGAGGCTTGAAACAATTCCTTCAGTTATGAAGTTACCTATTACAAGCCATGGAAATCAAGAACTTTACAATTTGTTTCATGTAAACCACTGAACAACCAGAAATCATGTGGAAAAGGAAGATGACTACATTAGACATACGGCAGTGGATTTATGGGAAGAACTTCACATCTGCTGCTGTGATCTATAACGTGTGTTGAAGAAAGAAAGCAGAATAACATCCTGATTATTGATTAATATTTTAGGTATTGAATTTTCTAAAATTTTTCAGAAGTTGGATCTAAGCCATGACGTTCAACCCTTTCCAAGAATCTGAATATGATTGCTGATGATTGCATTACTCTGCACCACATCACCTCTTCAAGTAAAAGAAGCTCTCCTTTACCAAATGTTTAGACCTTCTACAATCTTGCTTAGAGATACTATTCTTCTCTTATTTCCCTCAAAACTATTCTCTTGTATTAAAAACAACGTTTCTCACTTGCAAGACTATGTACAAAATATGTAGTATAGACTGTAAAGCAACAGATTTCTTCCAGAACAGATAATCTACAAATAAGTTTCAATTCTCATTTGTTATTGAATGTGTACAAATATATATATAAAGCTGCATGCAGTACCAATAAGGTATTCAAAAAAATCTGAGCACTGTTGGTTTTAAAGAAAGCTCTATGCTACTTTCTTCAGAATATTTATTATTTTATGAAGTTGACTAATGGAGCAATAGGACAAGAACAACATGGAAAAGTCAGCTACAACAGCAAATAACAAAATAAAAACACACACTTGCTCAATCTTTCTCATAAATAATAACATACTGTTTGAGATCTTCTAACAATAACCATGAAATACTGCAAAAAGCCATACCAAAAAGTGAGATAAGGGGTATTATGACATACATGTTGCTTTATCATTGAGTGCTCATGAAGAAAATTAGATCCATTCAAGCATTTCAGTTTGGAAGGTTGTCACACACTAATGGCCTATGGTCAGAATACAGAATATAAATCTTCCTACATTTTTGAGCTATTCAGTTGTTCAGGCTGCACATTACCAGTAAAACATGGTGTTTCTACACACACCGCGTCACTGTTGACAGCAATATGCAGGTCTTAAATTGCAGAGAAGAAATAATTTTCAGATATGGCCCCTGGAAAGGGTACTATGGAAAACCTCTTCTGGTAGTTCTTCTACTTCAAAAGAATTTAAACAAACAAACAAAAAGACTTCCTTCCTTTCTATAATGCAGACAATTAATTTTGAGAGATGAATATAATTCGCTTCTGTTAGTTTCCTTTTTGTGAAGCATCTGCAGAGATATCTTAGAAAAGTAGCAGAAGTTATCTGAAAAATGTAGGCAGACATTAATACCAGTGAGTTTTTCAAAACAATGCTTTTGTTCTTGCCTTTTCCTTTAAAAATTATGGTTTTTTTTAAAAAAGCATATTTTAAAGAATCTTTGAACTAAATTTTGGTGAAGTTTGATTTCTTCTAGAAGGATATGTTTAGCTTTTAAGTTCTGCTTCATTTTAAGAAACTAGTACATCACTAAACGTCTCCATGAAGTCTTCTAGCCATTTTCTAGAAGTGCTCATATAAAAGCTCTCCTAAACCAAGTCCTATTAAAAGAAAGATAACTTTGACTAACCCTTTATTCAAATGTGAGAGCATTCAGACAGCAAGAGAGCTTCAGCATAATGGAAAACCAGTTCTATCCAAGTCATAGTATATAAGAAGGAATGATGCATGAAAAAATTGAAAGGAAAAGAAAAAAATAAGGTGCAAAGAGCTGCTTTATAGGACAGCCAGGCTCTGGAGGACGCTTCAAGCATAACAGGATTTGCCTTCTGAGCAAGAATCTGGATTACCAGACCTGAACAACTGAGTAGAGTTCATGTAGAAGAGAAAGGGGGGAAAAAGCCCATTGGAGTATATCAGCATCAGAGGCCACAGCTAAACGCAGTTTTCTGTGGGCATCAACAAATGGGGTGCAATCAGTACCGCCATGTATTGCAACTTGAACACATTAGTTCTTAGAGCAAAGTTCCTGTAGATCATCTTAACTGGTCTGGCATGCTACCACCTACCACCGCCTTGGTTTGCCTTTAGCATGTGAGCCATACTCAGTGTATCACCAAAGTATTATTTCCAAGAGTTGTTATACAAAATCAAGCATTCCAGCTCTTTTCCCAAGGTGTAATTATTATTTCAGTTTATGGCAAAATTCACTGTACCCTCTTTAGGCTTAAGGACTTTTCTAGTCTCACACAAGGACTCTTGATTCTGTAATCTTTTTCCAGCCTTAGAATTTTGTAGCCTTTTTAGCATTGACTTAATCCAGACAGCCCACACACTCTCCAGGTCTCCACCTCCTAGGATTCTGCCTTTGAGTTCTGGAGAGTTGTCTTCTCCACATTTGCTTCCCAGTAGGCTTCCTTCTTGAGAGCCTGACCCAGAAATTCAGATGCTGCAGGATATCCCAAGGGTCTTTGCTGTTAACAAATGTTCCTATGACATGATCTCTGGATTGATCCTCAAACTTTGGCAAGGCTGACACTCAGGAAGGGACAACCTGTCTCCTAATTGCAATGCTGTTATTTCTCCTAGGGAGTATCAACAGTTAATGAAGGTGTATGAACCACCTCAGTACCACCTTCTCCTCTAAAAAGCTAAGTATGATTTTATTTCTGGCAAAGAGCACTTACCCTGCTGCCCCTGCGGTGTTTGTGAGATGATGAACTGTGCTGGCTGCAAGTTGGTTGTTGGATGCACCAACACAAACTGTTGCAGGTTGAGATTCTGCTGCTGAAGCTGCTGCAAGTGCTGCAAATCCTTAAGGAAACAGGGGAAGGGGAAAAAACAAAAAAAAAGACAAAAAGACAAAAATGGGGGGGGAGGAGAAAAGAAAAAGAAAGAGCTATGTGTTAGACATTTAAGTCAGCCATGAATCTCAGTGTAACTAGATTTCCTATCAACCAGTTAAATTCTAACATTTAGAGATAAAAGTGGATGTCAAACACGGCAGCTGTGCTACTGAATATCCTTTAGGCTGGCAATTTGAATTTCTCTGTCCCTTAAATCTCCCTCTCCTCTAAATGCAGAAGTTTTCAAACACTTAAGACTTATCAGCACCCAAATTTCTCAGATTTATATTTTGAGGGTGCAACTCTTGATACAAAATTCATTGTTGACAATTTAAGCATATTAGGTGGGAGCTATTTTTAACAGCAACAATCTGCAATTACCATTCTAATCAGCAACAGGAAAGAAAAAAAATTATAGATTCCTAATTTGCACTCTGGTTGTTTAGGTCAAATTTCAGGAAGTAGCTAACTCAAATAGTAAATAAATATATTTGATTAGTTCAGAAACAAATAACAATAAGCTTAATAGACATGGCTATAGTTAAGGTTAAAGGGAATAACCCAAACCACTGCACTACTGTAGAACCCTAATTCTATGTATTCAAACCATTCAGAACTATTAATTTTCTATAATTAAATGACTAGTCTCAATGTAAACGTTAATCTCTGAGAAACTGAATCATTAAGAAAAATGCTTCAACTTGCTGTTTAGCTGGAGAATGAAAACACAGCGAACTGCTTAAAAATACTTCACCCAAACTAGCCCTTTAATTTTCATCCTCTCCAAACAGGACAATAACAAAAGTAACTGAAATGTGAAAATATGAAGCATGATATCAAGCCAACCAACATAACAGAGGTGATCTATGAAAATTATCTATACATATCTGTAGAATCTTTACATCTTTCTGCAAAGCTGTTTCAAAATACTCACCAAGCAGGTGGATAAATCTGAAATATTTCCCACACTTCCAACCTCCCCTTAAACAAACCCACAAACTAACCCAACAAAAAAACCCCTCCCAAAGCTCTATTTCAGGTAAGTTACCCAGATACCAGGGTACCTGTTTGCAGACAGATACCCTCTGTGCCCAGCTGTCTCAGAAGATGTTAACAATGCCAGTTCACTCCTAAACAGTGCTCAACCTGGCTGCTTGAATGGAGCTGCTCGTTTTAACACACTTCCTAACGTACTTGAGGTAAAGTGAACCAGGCTAACAAAGACCTGCTTCTTAAGGCCAGTTTTTGACTGATGCAGGTTCCTGAGCACTCACACAAGCTGCTCAGCCAGCAGATGTGAAAGGTCATTAACTGCCAGCAATGGAGATGATGAGGGAAAGTCAAGCCAGACTGACAAGGATAACTGTTTATTTACACAATACAACTATTAGCAGAATACAGTTTTCAGTCTATGACCTTACATGATTTTAAAACTATTATACTAAAAGTTGGAACAATCTCCTTCTGGGGAAGAGGGTTGAGGAGAGTCAGTGGGTGGAAAGAAAGACTAGGGAGGAAAAAAATAGTAAAGAGTCCATTGATTTATGAGACCAAAGACATGCATTATAAGAAAACAACTACTTAACCTGCATTACAAAGACACTGGCCATCAATCACTTAGGCAACTTGGTAATGTTAAGTCAAAAGCATGCAGTGTAATAATATGGGAGACAGACACCAGATGCATTGACCAAGCCATGCTCTGTAAGAAATGGAAACTTCCATTTTATAAGAGAACATTAAAATTTTAAAAAGCACTCCCCAGCACAATATACAGTGTTTCTCAAGCTGATAGTATTGTTTGCTTTCAGAAAATTGGAGAAGTACTGCAACCATTCCTATGAAATCAAGGACAATTTCCTTCCTAAAGAGAGCTAAACCTGCTCCAGTTTTACCCAGGAATTCCATGTTTCTTCTGACTTCTATCATGAAGCTACATTGGTCAGACCTGCAACTAAAAACTCCCACTTCTGGAGCCCAACGCGACATGGACCTCCACTCATTTATTCATTAATTTTTCAATGCTCTACTGATAACCTTTGCAGATTGAGCAGACACTCCAGCACAGAGGGCTCGTAATGAATTGGATGCAAGAAGTAGATGCAGAGGAAGAAACAGAAATGGAAAGAGGAGAGCAAGCTGACTAAGGCTGTGAACGCTGGGTGGAAGAAAAACACATGAAGAGAGGCTGAAGGATGAAAATAGAGGTGGCTAAGAGGAAAAAGTTGGAACACAAAAGGAAAAGTTGGGAAGAAAATTTTGAAGGAAAAAGCACGGACAGAAAAACAGACAGGTTGAGGACCTCCCCCACCAAAAGCAAACTAATTAAATACCCCCAGATGACCCAGTAGATCTCATATGATTTGAAGAAGCACCACAGGAGATGGAGTTACATACAAGAAAGAACACAAAGGAACAGGAGCAGTGTATTTGTAAGGTCAAAGGAGGAGAGCTTTTTGTTTAAGACTATAGTATTCATAACGTAGGGTACCCAGCTAAGACATGACAGCTCTTATCATCAGGCTCTTACACTTTAATATGAGAAAACTGTTTTTAAATTGAGGCCTCAGGGATAACTGGTATAAGCAATCTTATTCTGTGCATCTGTCTTGGTAAATGGTATCTTGGCTCAGTCTTGTTTAAATACAGAAATACAATTCCATAATGCAGAATGGAAATGATACCTCAAAGGCTAATCACTCTTAAATAGCCCTACCAGCCCCTCAAATTCATTTGAAAACCAACTTTATTTCTACCTTGGGAAAGTTTTATTATTTAGTTAATTGCAGCATTACAATAAATCTCCCAATAGCAACCATGTGAACAACCCTGACACTTTTCCTATACTGATCTTTTTTTTTTTTCCCCTCAATGGTAAAATCTGTATCCCAGCACAAACACATAGAAAAAGATGGAAAGACTTTTGGGGAAATACACGTCTTCTGGTGCTGCCTAACAATTTAGAAAGATCAAAACAATCCAACTCCTCCCTCAGCAGAATAATCTGCCAAGTGCTACGTCTTGATGTGAGGAGGAGGGTTTTTTTGTTTATTTGTTTCTAAAAAATAATCTGACATTTTAAATTCAATGCCATTATCTCCAGTTAGAACTTCAGTACAAACTTAGGCACCTCTGTCATTTTGAGGTTTACAGCATATAAACACTGATCATGGATCCTGAAAACAAGTAAGGTTTACAAAGAACTCTAAAACTTGGTACAACTGTTTAGTGACAATTTAGCATCAGCCCAGCAGCAGCACTAACATCTTACCCGACTGCTGCAGCAGATACCTTGCACTAACTGCAGTGCACATTAAAGAAGTCATGCTTGTGCAATTAGTTAATTAAAATAAATATGGTAATCCCCCTGCTGCAGAGACCTGCCAGTTAATCAATTATTCAAAAATCATCAATTAAAACAAACATTCGGCTATGTGGGTAATCAGCTATGTGTTTACAATAGCAATGCAAACAAAGCTGAGTGCTGTTTACAGATTGTGGTGAAGGTGGATCAAAAAGCGTGGTGCTATCCACCTACAACCCTAGACAGTAGAAGTTTTCCATAAATTATCTCAAAATTATATCCAACACCTACACAAACGATGCTCTTCACTTTCATCATAAAAAGCAGCTAACAAGAGTCAACCAAGTGACATTGATATATCAAAATAACCTATCCTGAAATGAATTAATGGTAAAGTCAAATATTTAAGTAATTAGGAATGCCAGAAAACAAGTGAAACTTTAATTTGTTCCCTTTGTGCTGCAAATACACGTTATATGGTGGCAACTACCTGATCACACGCTGTTTTTCATAGAGCCTTTAGCTCGTTCACGAGCACAAACAAAACAATGGTCACTGTAGAAGCTCCTATTTGACGGCACACGCCTGATCTTTTCACCTTTTCTCAAATACTTCTCTGAAGAATTTTTTTTAAGACCTGGAGGAAAACCTAGCACTAAATTAATAATTGTAAATGCTTCCCGCTGAAGTGAAAGAGCGGGATTAGCAACATCTCACACATGCACAACAATGCCTTCAAAAGGAACCACTAAGTTAGTGGCTTATTTGATAAATGTAAAAGCCAGAGAGTTCAAGGTACAGATTTTATAAATATGATATTTTAATGCTCCACACTTCAGTAAAACAGACCTTGTTATCTTAAGCTGCACACCTGGAAGACAAGAGGCACACGCCTGTGGGTCACTTACATCTAGGTTAAAAGACTTGTATAATATCGAATGGCAACTCTGTGACGGATGCACGGAGATGTCAGAAGCTAACCATCAACTTCCTTGACAAGGACACGTCCCATTCTTTTCTTGGAATCTGTCTGTATTATTGGCCACAGACAAAAATTTAAGAAAATTAAGAGACAGTCTTGGGAGTTACAAGCTTCCTTGAATGCTACATCCTTGAGTCATCTCCAGATCATGACAGTGAAGTGGCATCCTTTGGTAAAAGGAGTATGAATACCTGGTCACTTCACTCATCACAGTGCACCAAGAGAAGCTGTGTGTGTGTGTTGGGGGGGTCTGTAGGCAACATCAGTCCTGGCCTTTTAAATGTGGGGTGGCATCACTCTGTCCAGAGAGGTCAGAACTTTTACACTAACACCACAGAAGTTTGCCACTTCAGCTAATAAAAAAACCCCTGATAAGACAACCAAGGCTGTTATTCAGCTAGTGAACTAGCACAATAAAGGAATAGCACATTTCACCAATGGTCTTCACAGATAACTGCAACATTTCCACTCTTTTACTTTAAATCAGCCCTCATCTTCACTTTTTAGACAACTCCATCCCAGCTGAATGCAAGCACAAATAGTCTGAATAGAAAGCATCAGTCTAGAGAAACTGTTCGCTGTAAGAAGCAGTAACTTTGGAGATTACATGCCCAACACACTTTGCACAACTAGACTAATCAAACAGAAATATCAATTACCGAGAAGCTTTATCTACGGAAAGATGGACCTCAGCATCAGCAACACAATCACCTACTAGAAGTAAAGATGCCTGTGCTGTACATTCGGTCACCCTTGACCAGAAGTCTTAGGAGTTTTCACACTATATATGCTAAGCATAAAGTCAGTGGCACTGCATTCTCCACACTGAATTAAGCCAGTCCTGGAAGACCCAGGAGGATCTTTGCTGCTCCTAGTAAGCAGAACTCCCTTAACAAGCAGTTCTTCAGAATTAACAGGTCTTTAGCAGCAGACCATAAGACTGGACAGAGTCTGACAGCAGACTCGCTCATTCTGGAAAGTTTTTCTCTAAACACACAAGAGTGCCCGTTCCTTGTCACTGAGCTCTGAGCACTGAGCACCGCGCCAAAACAGCACACACACGTGTCAAGTCAAACTGCCTTTCCTCAGCTCCATCATTTTGCTGTTTGGATTTAACAAGCATCCCTTGTGATACGCAGGTATCCCTTCCCATCCGTACAGGTCTCGACAAGCGTCATTTCTATAGGCATATCCCCCTTTTCCTCCTTTCTCAAGCTAACTTGAGCAACCTGGTCTAGTGGAAGGTGTCCCTGCTGATGGCAGGGGGGTTGGAACTAGATGAGCTTTAAGGTCCCTTCCAACCCAAACCATTCTATGATTCTATGATAACTACAAGGAGGAAAATTCAGAAAACACAGCATCTGGTCAGATCCTGGAACAAACTCAGAAGCTCAGTGGAACTGATGAGCTGCTGGTTCACATTCTTTGCCAAAACTATCAACTTCAACCTCTTCAGCTAAGGATGCATGAGGAAAGACTACCAGTACTACAAGGACTCTAGAAACTCACTGAATAAGGAACAAAAATATGATTTGAACGATGCAATTAGTGAAACCTCTTTTATTTTCCACCCTCTCAAGCCTCAAGGCTCACCTGTGCAATCTGTATTGGCTGAGATAGAGGGATCTGCGTCATCGGCGTTGCAGCAGAGGCCGAGATGGTGGCACCAGCAGCGCTGTGCTGCTGACTGGCTGAATGCTGCACTGCAGCCGCCAGCAACTGTGCCTGCGCCTGTTGTAGCAATAACTGTTGCTGGGCTGGCGTCAACGTGAGCTATAAATAATTAGAAAACACAGCCATTAATAATGGAAAGAGCCACTTCAGCTACAAAGTCATTAGAGCTAGCTCATCACTAGTTATATTAACCAGACATTCCTAGGACTGTTACTCCAGTTCAGCCATTAACTAACCAATGACTCTGGCCTTGAGTTTCAGGACAGCTGGCTACTCAACGCAGCAGCCTAAGAACCAACCTACCACACACCTGACGTAAACCAAACCGCACCAACGCAAACGTTTGCGCTTCCTGGAACCTACTGAACCTAACTTTACTCCTAAGTTTTCTTCACAACTCTACCAGGAGGGTCAGGAAAAAAGGTAATTAAGTAGCAAGCAAGAGAAAAGAATGGGTATTGCCAGGATTTGAAAGGAAATTTACACCCAGCAGAACAGCGAGTGATTAGCCAGATGAATGAGAAGCAGGACTATGGCTACTGAACAAACTGATAACCCCCCAGCTGCTTCACATTAGCATGAATCCCTGCCATATTCCATCATTTCCATTATGCCCTAAGATATAAGTAAAGAACATGAGCTCCATTTGTTTCTCTCCAAGTCTCCCCATCTGCTTTTTTTTTTTTTTTTTTTTTTTTAAATAGAATAGAGTTGGCAAGTTTACATCCCTTCCCTTTCCCAAACACACATTATCTCTGTGAAACAGGTGGCAGCAGTCTCTCCTTTACATGTAAATGAATCTCAATGCCCATATTTACTACAATCCATATCTGCATAGGCTTGGAATTTTGAATGTTTCACTACTGCAGACAATCATAAATTAAAACAAACCATTTTTTTTTTTCTTGAGAATGAGAAAAATAATAAAATACACTGGGGTTTAATAATGTATTAAAACAGTCTCACTTTTAAAACTTTCAAATGCAATTAACAAAAAACTAAATAGGATGTTTGCTTACACACTAGCGTACGAGAAGATTTAACAACTGAGCATGAAATTAAGACACCATTTCATTCAAGCGTAGAGATGATCTAACCTAACACTTCAAATCATAAATATATTGTTGGAGCAACTGTCCTAAATTCCTTATTAACATGCAAACTCTTAAAACTGCAAAGCTGATTACAAACTCTTTAACCAAACAAGCCCATTCACAAAACTTGCTCTTTTTTTAAACGACTGAAAGTATTTACAGCAACTTGGAACCACCAGTAATCCTAAAACAACAGTTACTCCACAATTACTCCCAAAGCCTTGCCATTAAAAAACTCAGAATTGGTAGATTAAAACAGAAGGGTCGAATAGGCTTAAACCAAGTACTAATATAGTTACTTAAAAAGAAATGTGTTTGAGAAGAGGAAGACTTAGTGTCAGCAGTTCCCATCGTTTTTGTTCTTTACCCAGCTTTCTGATAAGATGTAGTCTCATGCTCCCAGGCCTCATTTTAATTTTGCAAAAAATAAAAATTCCTCTTTATGACATCAGTGACTTCCTTATTTGTACACACACTGGGTTTTAATTTCATTACAGAGTCAAGATGGATACTGAGAGCAGAGAGAAAGAGTTTCTTCCCCCGCCCCCCCACCCCCCCAAAAAAAAGGAAATATTTTTCAACAAAAACCAAAGACTAAAGTCTGCTTTTTTTTTTTTTTCATAGGAAGATATTTTCTGTCCCCTCTTTCACTCAAGTTTCTTCCTATATTAAAGGAAATGACAATAACCTTCACTGACAGTTCTACAGGGACTGCCGTGGACACTGCCGTCACTTGCCGGACAGGAGGCTTCCTGCAGTATACTTGGGTAAATCTTACCCCAGTGATCTGTCCTCCCCTCCGGCCAGCATGAGCTGGGTCTGGGGTATGGCCGCCTGCACTGAAGGCTGCTGGGAAGGCTGGCTTGGCTGCTGAGAGTCCCCAGATTCTTCATTAGATTTAGACTAGTCAAAAAAAAAAATATAAAAAAAAAAAATATAAATAAATAATAAAAATATATATATAACTCTTTATAGTGTAAAACAGATGTTAATGTATAACGCTGCTATCTCAACACTGCACAATAAAAATCTTTCATCTGCATACAAAAAGCCCTTGGGTTTATTTTAAGACTGTGTTTAAGCAACGGCTCTATGTGCCCACCACCATCTCAGCTACGATTGCTCAAACATGTCTGGAGGTAATGCAGTTTAAACAAAAGAAAAAGACTCTCAGGTCTTTTGTAACTCTTTTGACATTATTTTCAGGTCTCTCGTTTCATTTTACGCAAGGCAACTGAAGCTGACACTACCCTTCACCAAAAAGAAAGAAGAGATTGTTAAAATTATTCATTGCTTAAAATCCTGAACAATGGAAGGAGGGAAAGGAGATTGTGTTTCCATTTTCTGTATCTGCATCCTGCACCTCTAAGTCATCGTATTGTTGTCTTTTACGGAACTGGTTTGAGAAATCCTCACAGGTTTATCTACCAAATATATAATATATATAGTGCTTTTAAATAATCAAAGTTTAGCATTTATTTAATTGAAAGCTGCTTTATTTTAAAATATTTGGGGCTTTTTGTGTGTGTGTGGTTTTCATTTTGTTTGGTGCTTTGTTTTTTGTTTGTTTTTTTTTTTTTTTTAACTGAAGAAATTGTGAAGACATGAGGGAGGAAATGCAAGTGCATGAAGAGGGGGAGAGAGTTTTATGATAATTAAAACTGGTTATGCAGAACATTAAAATTCTGCATAGATTTGCATATTTTCCACCACCTGTTTTGGGGACTGCAGAGCAGGCTAATTAACATAAAGGCTCTGATTAATTCTGCCAGTCATTGAGCGATAATTACAGCGCAGGACTGTAAACATTCTGCACTGGAGATACAGCCTGTTTGCCAACATCTCTCTCAGGGATGGAAGTTTACCATGGCAACCAAGGCAATTTTCTGCCTCCTTCCTCTTAGAAACGAAGGTCACTATACCTCCTCTTCTTTCCAAATTGTTATTATGTATAAGTGGGTCCACATTCTATTGCATTTCATGTAATGCACTACCTACATTCTTTAATAACAAGCAATACCGAAACCAGTTTTCAATAAAACTGCATCCCTTGCCCCTTAATATAGTACTGAGAGGAAGCAGCACGTTAACTGCTACACTGAAGTGTTCAGCATCATAAAAAAAGTTTGAAAGCTTTGTTGTCTCACGTACATTATTAAGCAACAATTACTCTGACTTATTTTGAAATCACTGCTTGTTATATACACAAGCAATCTGCACCAGCCACATTACATAGTTAATGTTACATTATACCTCTATATTCAGCTACCAGAAGGATAAATTGCAAAGTAATACTTGCTATGTTTAAAATAAGTGAATAAATGGAAGAACATTAAATACTCCTGGAGTTTTATAGTGTTCAGGATACAACAACCTGACTGAAATTCAGTATAAAATGACGATCGCTGCATGTTTTAAACAAGTCCAGTTTCTGAACCTGATTTACAGTTGTAAAGCTATTATTCCTTCACACCTATCACTTGCAAGACCAGTTCATAATGAAAAAACAGAGGAACACATCATAGGTTAAAAATGATCTCTAACGGGACCAGAATGCTCTTTGGAATGAGGGAAGGACGAGCAGCAGAAGGAAACTGTCTTTACCTGTACATTTAAGGACTGAGCAGCAGCCTGTAAACTTGTTCCAGCGAGCTGGACCTACAACACAGTGCAAAAATGGAAATGAAATAATGTAAAAAGAACAACCTCCCCATTTGCATCCCAAAAAAAAAACCAACCTCCTCTAAGAACAAAGCATGCCCCTCTAACACTTGAATCAGTGAAACAGGGGCTGTGCTCCAGGTTAAAAAAAAATACTAAAAAATCTGAAAGAATCTTGCACAGTGTTATTTGTCTGCCTCTTGCTGAAGGAATTCCTGCCTAGGGATCTAGATATTATCATGAAATTGAGTTGAAACAGAGCATTTGGGGTGGACAGGCTAACTTCCTATTCCTGTTAAAAAAAAATCCAGGCTTCAGGGGACAGTATTAAGCTCTCTACTCATCATCATCCTTCTAATATTTCAGACTGGATCTTACCCCAAATACACACGCTGCATTCACCCGATTCCTTATACGACAGAGGAGCAATCACCTGCACAGCACAGAACCCACAGCATACACCCTCTTCCTCAAATCAACCCGTTCAAGCACTTGCAGTCCTCAGCCACTGAAAAGAAGATCTCAATCCAGAGGACTGGAGGCACTTTACAAAGGCTGTATTGATTCAGGTATACTCAAAACTTGAATTCAATGTTTGTGATTAACAGGTCCACAGAAGTTCTCGTGGGTTAGCAGCGAAGAAAAACTGATGTTTCAGAAAGTGAGATTTTTTTTTTTTTAAGTGTGTTGTTCTATCTTTAATAAGGATTTTCTCTGTACAACAAAACACTAAACTCTCATTTCCTGAAGATTGTTTTAATGCCTTGCCTTGTTTCAACCACCACTCCTACAATAAAGAAGGAATGCTATGTAATTAATTACCAACACTTTCAAAGGTCAGAGTTACAGCCTGTATAGTGAATTCCATCTCTGGCCATGTTTGAAAACTGCTGCTCATTTGAAAACCAGGCAACACGTAAGGTTATAATAAAGCAAAGCAAAATGTAGCACTCTTGTTTCTACAAAAATATATCCCCACATCATATACATAACAAAAGAGAGGCCACGTATCTGCAAGCACAGGAAAGAGTTTTAATTTAAATTGCAATACATGAAATTAATAACTGAATATTCAAAGAGCCAACCCTTAAGAATCATGCTGGAAATATTTCCTACGGCTCTAGATTAAGGTAGTGGACCTACTAAACATGTTCTGCATCTAAGCAAACACTCCCAGAAAAGCTTCTCCTCATCACGAAGCAAATATAGTTTGACACAGTTGATGTAATCTGGGCTTTAAACATGAATTAACAGCAGACAATACTCTAAACAATAACAGCCTGACATCCAAAAAATATACTCAGAACCAGTACTTTAAAAATTACATAATAATAAAAAAACCCTACATAAAAGACTACAAATGTATCCACTCAGGTACAGCCAGTGTATTCCTGAAAATCTCTTTGAATGCAATTTGGACGCCCCTTCTACCACACAATAAACATTTTCTAATTAGAAATTAAACTGAATGTTGCATCCAACCTACTATTTTGTATGAGTCTGGAGGAAAGCACTGTGTGTGAAGGCTGAATAACACCCCACTAACAGCAGCCACGCTAGAAGAGGACAGTTTGACAATAGATTCCCACACACCTGCAGGTGCATAAAAGAATAGCTGAGATTTTCCTTTGAACTAGAGTTTCAAGAAATGAATCACACTTTATCAAACACCAAGTTATAAAGATCCTGACAACTGTTTAAATAAATACATTTCCAAAACAAGATAAAGCACTGTGCTAAATACAATTACTGTCCTGGATCAATCCATATAACAAAACAAAGAGTAAAACAAACACACAAAATTCTGCAGAACAGCTGTATCTGTCTCCATGTTAAACACACACTGACAGCCCATGAAAACTCGTCAGCTTCTCTCCACATAAAGGCAGCCTACAACAGCCTATTGGTTCAGCAAATTCAAACACTGGCACTCCCTAGGTCCTATATAACTCAATCTACTAGGAAAATTGTAATTATGTGACAAGATGTGTGGAATGTTCCATACAATAAAATGGCAGTTCAGAGCTCTTAAAAGAGGGCACAAAAGCTTCAGTACATCAATTATACCACAATAACTGTGCAACCTCAGACCTCAAACATTCAAGGTCAGCCAATTAGGTACTGTATTTTAAAGTTTAAACTTGGTGCTGAGGAAGGGAAAGAAATTAGGACATTTGTTTTCATATATCAAGTGCAAAGGGATAAAAAAACTACAAAAAATGCCCCTTCTACTTCTCTTCACCTAGGGATGCCCCATTTTGCTTCAGCCTACATCTGACGTTCAGCTTTGATTCCCTAAACACAGCAGCAGCAGAACAGAGGGACAGCAGTAGAAGCCTGAATATCATTTGACAAACAGGTCCTTGAAATAACTTTAAAAAAAATAAAATAATTAAAACCTCACAAACCAGATATGCTTAGAAAATATGATCACTTAATATTTCTAGTTAATGTGTAAGAGTTTGAAAGATTGAAGCACATTGCTGACCACCATCCAACACCACTTCTGGTTTCTTAACTAGGTAGTGACAGTTTCAGAACCTTGGTAGATTAAATTTTACTTTGCCTTTCAATCTGGTATCTCCACTATGGTTTAAAACAAAAACAAAAACAACTGTAGGCATTCTCAAGTCCCCAAAAAGGGGCTTTAGAGTTCTCCTGAATAGGTCCCACCTTATCTTGACGTACTTTTTCCCATCCAAGCTATTTAAGCATGTGGTCTACTCATATGTTCCTATGTGACTACCCATCATTCACAGAAAGAGAGAGCACAGAACACAAAAGAGCAGTTGCGTTCGTACCTGCCCGAGTCTCCCCTACTCTGAAATGGCTCTTCTCTTACCTGATGAAGGTGCCCAAGGAAGGCCTGGGCCTGGGCTGTAGAGATTGCTCCTCCGACAGGCACAGGCTGCTTTTGAAAGTCCAGGCCATTTGTTTGCGTGCCTGGGGAAAGAGATATTAAGAACTATTAGTTATTAATTTTATTAAATGGAGTAAGAACTAATATTCCTAAGTCTCCTGCTATTCTCTCAATACTATGCAGTACCAAAATACTCTGAGACTAACAAGAATTTAATTTTTTACAGAAAGGAGGAAGTAGGGAAGCAGTGTCACTTCCAGATTCAGTCATACAGCATTTGTCAGCTCAACAAAATCAACATCATATTTTCTTTAGTTTCTATCATCTTACCTACTCTACGTACGCTATTACCCCATCATTCTCTCCCATGGTTTGAGAGCCAAACGAGTGCGCGTTGCTAAGGTTAAACTCTGTTTCCATTCCCCATGCACTCTCTATTCAGCAGCTGAAGATTATCTTCAGGTTCAGAAAGTGGCAAGAACAAGGTCCAGACAAAGTCATCTTTCATTAAAGACAGGTAAAATAATACTTGACAAAAACAGAAGCGCCACATATCCCCAGCAGTTATGGGCCACAGTTCTGATAAAAGATAACTCCACATTCCCATGAATATTTGTGCAGAGCTCTCATTACATAAGATAACTGTCTGGGCTTGCTTTTGTCCTCACTCACTTTCATATAACTAAAACCTGATTATTTTCCTACACTTTGTTTTCTTCTTCCTGAACAGAAGACATGAAAACCTACAAGCTATCCCCAAATAATCCAGTTTTGAGAAGGGGGAAAAAAAAAATCCACAAAAAAACCTACCACAGAATTCACTTCTGCCAAGAGGAACTATAACTACAGACATTTAAGAATCATTCTGTGGGCAGATGATAAAATCAACATTAGGGATTATCAACAACTGGTTCTGTGTGTTCGGTATTACTACCTACAGTGGCTAACAACAAGAAGGGAGACTCTGAGTCTGTCAGGCTGCGTGGAATTTCTAGAACAGATGATGCAATCTTAAGAACTGCGTGACTGAAATGAAGCAAAACCAGCTTTAGACTTGCATGTTTACTCTTCATGAAAATCAGATTTTGTTCAGTGCCTGTGGACAGGTGTTCAACCAACTCCTACTTCAAAATTCCTTCCATCATCTACATTTTTTTGCCATAAAAATCTAGGTTATCTCCTAAGCAAAAGAGAGTCACAGTTGTTCAAACAACAACAGGGGTTGTTCAAACAACAACAGGGGTTTCCTATTCCTTAGAAACATCTGCAAAAGCAAGCAGGTGTAAAATCTGATTCATAAAATACACTATCCAATATTTTACATTGCTGTTTTGACCTACAAACAGCTCACACAGATAAAGTTTTCTCTTTGGTGGAGGTGCTGTGGGGGAAGAGTTGGTCTACTCTCAAGTTTTTTAATTCTATGGCTTTGGGCCAGGGTTTACAGTCTTAAAGAGACATATGTGCAGCCAAAAATCCACAGACATGTTAAAAACGTTCACATTTTAAACTACATAAAATTATTTTGCTTAATGAATCTAAAATTCCATACCCAAGTGAATGGAAGGACTATCACTGGTCTGAACTGATCCTGAATGAATGTAACTTGGTTGCATTTCTCCAAAGAAAGGTAGATAAGAAGGTCTGCTTGAAAGAGCTAGAATCATCTCATATATTTTAATTCTTTCCAGTAAACTGCAGAATTCCCTCAATGCAGAAGGCCAAAGGGAGTGGGAAGATGATGAGGTAAATATATAAAGACAATTCTTGACAAACAGCTACTGTAATTCAAAGGAAACGATCTAACACCTCCTCATTTAAGCAGATCTTTGAATCAGTTTTCAACCTGTGGTCAAGGACCTCTAACTAGGAAAAAAAAAAAATAGATAAGAAAAACTACTGTAAGGCAGATATTCCTCATTCCAGCTGGAAACTGGCAGGGGTCAAAAAAATTATCCCTTTCTGAGAGGACTAGCTGGAAGCCTCACCTTAAATAAACAGGTGAAGCTGTTCTGGTTAACCACCTTTCTAAAAGAGCCTCAAATCACGATACCGTATGAAAAGAGCATTGCTGTGCGTGTGTGCAGAAAAAATGCTCCAGTTAGTGCTTCTGCTGAGTCCTAATACAGAAATTTGGAATGAACCTCTTAGGGTTGATTGTTTTGAACAAAGCAAGTTCCAAGACTGAACTTAAAATCTCCATAGGTCCCAAAACCCAGTTTAGATAGGCACTGAGAGGAAACAACAAGTTCAACCTTGAAGGACTCCCAGCTTCCTCTTCTCACACCTCCCAAAAATCAAACTGGGACCAAAAAAACCCAAACTGGACCTGTTATACTTTCATCTTCAGCTTTCTGTGGAAGTAGAGTGTCCCTTCCCCTTCTGATGAGTTTTGGAAGGAATGCTACCCAGCTTGCTTGCGTTTATCACAGGTTGCCTACATCTTTTGAAGAACAGCAGAGAAAATGAACTTTAAGTTCAGGATATGAGAGGTCTTGCTCTTAAAGTACTCATAATGGTGTGACACCAGTCCTGTGGAATCCAAGAAATCTGATAAGGAGACCAGAAAATGGAGCTGTCAGAAGCACAATTATGAGTACATGAAAGGACCAGAATGCCACTTCTGCTCATGATAAGAGTTAAAAGCAAAACCCCGTGGTGATTAATAGACATGGCAGATGCAATAACAAGAATTGTGATTTTAACAACCCCAAGTATTTATGAATTTCCCACCTCCATCTAAACTTCCATAACTGCTAGAGCTGATCTACAGCTCACCAACACCAAAAAAACCCAGCAGTGGGAACTCTCCATCTCCCATCTCCCCTTTCTCCTTGGTTCCAACTACGCTGTCCCTGTCCTGCCCATTCTGGTAGTTCATGGACACAGCAGTAAGAGTTAGCAGTAAGCTAACTCACCTTTCTAACCCAGTACAAAACCATTTGTGTGAACTGTTCCCTTTTTCTTTTGGCCAAGTTAAGTTTTCTGCCAGTTATGTGAGATGACCTTTGCAGATAATGCAAAGCAGAGGAGGTCACAGACATGGTAGTAGGGAAAATAAGCTTTCCATGTTCCCAGCAAGTTGTTAAGATGTTGCTAAGCTGTAGGATGAAATTTCACCCTTATAACCCAAGTTCAATGCAACTTAAGCACGTTTAAATTCTGGCATAAATCCAGCCACGCGGTTAGTTGCTCCGTGGAGTTGGTTTGGATGAAGACTAATACTAAGTGCAATTAATTTTCAGCCAAATCAAATCTTTGAATCATCTCACTCCGTGGTACTTCAGGGAAAGGAACAGAACACCAAGTACCAGGACACCCTGAACATGGAGTAGTTTATACTGTCTTGGAATTGTACCTTCCAAGGGTAAAAGCATGACAAAATGGTACAGAAAAGGTAACATTGCACCCACAGTCAGGAGAACATCATACTCTCAAAATCCAAGACCATAAGACTTTAGTCTTAAGTTTCCAAACTGCCTAAGAAAGGAAGAGGAGTGATGAACTACAGGTCTGGTGAGATGTGGAATAAGGTGCAAGAAAGGACTCAGGAAGGGAAGGTACACAAGGAGAAGGAAGATCTCAAAACTAACTTGAGTGGGTATCTGCACCGTGCTCTGGCAGACATCTCCCAGCACCAGCACTACATTTCCCCATCTCTCTCTCTCTCTGCGTGCATTGATAGAGACAGGTATCCCCAGTACTCAGAAATTGTTGATTCCTTGCCCACATTACTAATAAAATTTTAGCACTGATATTTGCCTAGAATTTTAGCAGTTAAACAATATTTCAAGGTCCCTTTCCCACTCTCCTATAGACTTTCTTCTTATGGAAACTGGAAAAATCAATCTCTAGAAATGAAGTAATGCAAGTAAGAATCCTTATAACCTTTCCAAAAACTACACTTACAAAAACTATTATTTTGCTTCTCTGTCAATGCATGTCATAATACTACAGTTTCCATTCCATAGACATTATAATCTTGGTTTTCATAGTACTGCATTCACACTGCTTTTAAAATGTGCATTAAACAAACAAAAAAGGTTCAGTTCTTTTGGAAAATTTTGTGCTGCAACCTATAAAAAGGAAACCAAAAGGGCTCTCTGTTTACTGTAAGGCACTCTTCTTACTTCCCTCTCTTTTTCCAGTAGATACTAAGTAGACTGTCTACCCACAACTGAAGGTTGGAAAAGATTTGTGTAATTCTGCAATACCAATGACCAGCTGATTAATTCATGTTCTTGCAAAAACAACCATCTCCTGTACTCAAAGATTTTTTTTCTTGTCATTTTTGATTTGTCTGAAATACAGGATGCTTTTCCAGATGCTTAAAAGGGAAGTCCAGCTAGCACAAAAATTTTAAAGTTAAAATCTGTTTCAGGCATTTTATTCTGACCAATGTATTCAGGGAATGTTACTATGTTCCCTAAAGACTCAAGAGTTAGAAATACAAAGCCCTCATTTGTTAACTTCCATTAAACTTAGCTGTTAGCTCAGAGAACTTCTGATGTTAAGTCATCTTTACCAGCTAATGTTTCTGAGAACATCAGCGCTGCCAAATGTAAATTCCATGCCCTACAGTAATTTCTCTTTAAAATTTTCAAGTTGCATCAGCTTGCTACAGTTTAAAACAGGAATGACCCAAAAAAACATCCACAGAGGTTCACAAGGTAGACTAGTAGTGCTTCCACAGCAGACTCAGGTGATTTACAAATGTCACTAGAAAATAGACAGTTACAGAAAGATACAAAAATAAGAACTCAGAGTGTTTATAAAAATCATCTTCACGCATTTTTAATTCAGAGTCTACGCTCCCCAGACAATCAATGGCACTTCCAGTTCCTTAGCATCCAAGCTGGAAGCTGACTTCTTTCCACTAAGTATGGGCAGAGCCCAAAACCATAATCTAAGTACCCTGATCAGAAGCCTGAAATTACATTCCGTGAGCATTCCTGTCAGGGTTTCACATCTGCTGGTTGACTAACGCAACTTGAGCCTGCAAAGAATGTCACAAATGCCATTAATCACTACCTCCAGTGGTTTATGAACACTACACTTAAAAACAAAACAATGACTGCAGAACAAAGGGACCTCAAAAAAATTTGAAAGGAATGACTGGGAACATTTAAATTATAGAAGCAATGTCTGCAAAAGGTCCAAACACCAGTAAGAGTCAAACTTTTGTAATAACTAAACTTAGTACTAAAAAAAAAAACCCAACAAAACAGATGTTGTATCCCCTTTTGTGATGAAAACATTTACATGTAGCTTCACAATTCATCAATTTCTTTATGCCATGACCACCACTTTCACACTGATGGAGGATCAGCCCAGGAGAGCAGACCCAGGGTTTTGCTGAAGCAGATGTGATACTTCTGTGATAATGGATGACCTCTGAATAAACCAAGTCCTTCTCTTCAACAACTCAGTTTAGGTGAAACTGATAGTTAAAGCTGCACTTAAGGAAGTGCACTAGGAATGCCCTCTTTGGAGAAAGCATACACAGAGAACTGTGGTCATACAGAGCAGCAAGTCTGAATCTTCTCAGAAGTTTACACTCACCCTCCAACTACAAGGATTCTATAGGGATATTTAAAACCATTATTCTTTTGATGCTGTCTATGATTAGGAAATATTTACAGCCCCTATGTTTTTTTGAAAGAATGTTTTATATTATCCTAAAGCAGTACTAAAAACATAATAAATAATTTTTATACATAAAAAGAATTCATACCGCTCCTATCACAAATACAACAGAAATTATAAAAACTGAGATGCCAGTAACAAAACACATATTAATAAGTGAGCAGAATTCCTTTTGACTGACCCCAAGCATTGGCAGAAAACATCCAGCCTCTCGGATCAGTATCAGGAACATTCAGTCACTCTTACCTGTATTAAAGCTTTGCACAAAAAATGAGGAGACAGCAGCAAAAAACAAAATAAATTGTTAATTTCATCACAACTCCAGAGTTTAAAATAAAACTCTTATTACTGAATCAAGAGGAGGAAAAATAATTTTCCTCATACAAGGTAACTAGACTTCTCTGAAAGCAACAAGAACAAGTTCCTTCTCATTCAAATTTTCTTTTCCCAAATGCTATTCTAAGCTCAGAGAAGATTCTGAGTTAGGTGAAACTATTTACTTTCCATTCAGAACTGTCATTTCTCTTGTTTCCAAAACGAGCAGTAAATTACCTCCAGAAAGGAATTAAAGCATGAGATAGCATGATGAGTTTTAGTGGTTTAACAAGCTTTTCCAATGGCTTAGAACTTGGCCACATCTTAAGGGTGTGCCAAAAGGCACGTTGACCTTGACACAAAGGCTATTTTTCCCCAGCCAAATTTCAAGGTTCTGTTCTAACACATGAAGAAATTACAGAGAAGATGGCTAATGTAGGTTGTTTGGGTTTTTTTAATGTTGAGAAATGATGTTTCTCCCTTTGCTTTGTTCTTGAGAACTGCTGTGAGAGCTTGAATAAAATCTAAAATGGAAACAAGATCAGCCAGTGGCCCACGTCTGCCAGGGAAAATTTCAACCCAAAAACACATTACAAAGTTAGAGGTCCTGAAGGTAAGTTCTGCCAGGAAAAAATGAGACTACTTATGGAGAGCTAGTGCCACTAGACTTTCTGTAACATCAGAAACATTACAGGTAGAGGAAATGGGGAAGGGGAATCTTATCTGCAAAGAGTGAGTAGTGCTCTGATACCGTAGGTGTTGATGATGCCCTGCATACAACAGCGTTAATGACAAGACAAAAGTGTTCCCAAGTCTCTAAAAACAGTAGGTGTGGGGGGTTTTTGTTTTAGTTTGTTGGGGTTTTTTTAATTCCTGTAAACTGGTAAATAAATTTTGCTTTTAATATCCACTCAATTCCACCAGGAAATAGCTGTGCACCAACTCATCATTTCTTACCTGTGTTCCCATCTCCACTCTCCATTGACGGTTTACTGGTTTCTGACGGATTGTTCATTCTTGAGTCTGCATTAAAACAGAAATAAAGATAAACTAAGACAGCAAAAAAAAAATCCCCAAATCTATTCATATCTTGTCATCTAAGGGAAGTACAGAACATCAGGAATTTGATATGTATGTTACCCTAATTTAGATTATACCACAAAAAGAAAGATGAGAAGCAGAACACAATACTGAATCTTCCAGAAAAATACTGTTCCAAAATTTTGTGTGTCATTATTCCCATATGTGAAAACATGACATTAAGGGAATAAAAGACAGCATGCTGGAAGGCAAAGATAGGTAGGAACTTAATTTTCAGTACAATGAAAGTCATAGAAGCAAAAAAAAGGGGGGGGTAGGAAGGAAGGAGCAATGACTACACCAAGATTCAAAAACTTTAAGTCTGACCACCACGACCTACATTCTTCTTGTGTTATTTTTTTCTCCCCATACAAGAAAGGAAATCCAGTCATTATAATTAAACAGATGCCATTTTTCTAACAGTCCATTTTTATTTCACAGGAATGTCACCGATATTAAGTTACTTATATTTCCTATACATTCACACAAAACAGTACAAATACAAAATAATTCCTTTTCCTTCTCCCTCTGGATGAGTCTATTGAGAAGTCTGTTCTTGGTTTCAAAGCTTGGCAGCTGAGTATAGTGCAATGCCAAGGGCCTCTCCAGATGGCAGACAGAGAATTCCTTATATAGGAATCTATACAGATGTTCTGTGTACAGCATCAGCTCCCCAGCTTATTACCTCCTCATTCTTTGCTATTGACCTCAGTGTGCCACATTATCACTAACCAAAATTACAAAAAGAATCTCAAGACAGAACAGTTCATAAAATGAAGCGTAAGCAAATCCTTAAGCACCTTCTTCCATTCCATAACCAGTTAAATGCAAGTTCAACGAGTTCAGAATGAAGCCTTTACGCCAGGATATTCTCTTGCTGGGTGCTTACAAGATGACCTCTGTCATGTACTTTCACCAAAGCAGGGATTTCCAAAATACCAACTGGCTGAAGAATACAGTAACTGCATTAAATGCCGCATCTTTCCCTCAGATATTTTGAAGAACCCCAGACACTTCACTGCTTGGCAGTGTATGAGAGCTGGGCTATTGTCTGGAGTACTGTGTCCAGTTCTGGGCTCCCCGGTACAGGAAGGACATGGAACTCCTGGAGTGTGTCCGGGAAAGAGGGAGCATCTCTTCTATGAAGAAAGGCTGAGAGAGCTGGGATGGCTCAGCCTGGAGAAGAGAAGGCTTGAGGGGATCTTATTAGCATATATAAATACATGAAGGGAGGGTGCAAAGAAGACAGAAGCAGGCTCTTTACAGCGGAGTCCAGTGATAAGACAAGAGGCAGTGGGTACAAACTCAAGCATAGGAGGTGCCCCCTGAACATCAGGAAACACTGTTTTATTGCGAGGGTGACCAAGCACTGTCACAGGTCACAGAGAGGTTGTGCAGTCTCCATCCTGGAGTTATTCAAAAGCTGTCTAGACATGGTCTTTGCCAGCTGTGTCTAGGTGGCCCTACTTGAGCAGGGGGTTTGACCAAGTGACCTTCAGATGTCCCTTCCAACCTCAGCCATTCTGGGATTCTGTGACTATCCCCTGCTCCTGCCCAGAGGGCAGGTGCCACCAGAACCAGGGGTGACAGCAGCAGAGGAACACAAGCACAAACAAGCCAGGAGGAACGAAGCATGGGGACAGGGCCTGAATGGAAGCACGAGTCACGATGAAGCCTGGCTGGGAGCATGGGGGGGAAGAGGAGGGAACTAGTTAGAAGCCCAGCATGTGTGAGATAAAAAGATAAGAGACATCAACCTTGGAAAGACTCCAATAAGCAGTTAGGAAACGACGTGTCAATATTTTAAAAACCAATGTAATTTTCCACATAAACAACTGCTGCAGTTGAACCCAGTTAGGGCCTAGAAAACCCAGAGGACTGTAACAAACAGGCTTCTTCCCCCCACAAGTCACCCCAACCTCTCCAAGAGCCTCAACTCTTCCCAGAACGTTCCTATGCCTATGCTTAAATCTCTCAAACATCAGCCATGTGTAAAAGAGATCCGAGCTATCTTGGTGTCCAGGTAGATGTGTTAAATTCCTTCTTGAAATGAGGGGAGGGTGAGTGAGTTAGTGAGGAGAAACTTTCCAGCTGAGCGTTGCTGGCCTATGCTTTAGCAAAAAGCCACGAGTTTTGCCCCATTTTTCACGACCGCTGCTTAGCGGAGTCAAGCTGCAAGTTCACAGTCTCGAAAGACAGAGCTCTGCAGACACAGAACCTATTGCTTCCTGGCTCTTTATTTTGTCATTTTCCACATTTGGATAGCGTGATCCACACTCTAAAAACAGATCATGGTTCCACTGACTACATAGAAATGTTTGGGTTTGGTCTGCCCCTCCCTGCCCATAGATCTGTGTGTAAAACAATTACGAGTATGTTCCTACCTAGAAGTTGCAAGTACCTTAAATTGAATTTATTGTTGTGGCAACAGCACATTTATTTAAACTGATTATGGGCAACATTCATTTGATAAACAGCTTTAGTTCCTTCCTTGACACACAGCTGGTGACTGAAATTAGTTTAGGTTCAGAGAACACTGAATGGGAGAGTTTTCTCTTTGGATACAAACATGAAGAGTCTTCATTCAACAGGAAAATGAGCAAAGAGGGCTTAGAAGCCAACATATTTGGTTGTGGAAACTAAGACTAATTCATGGGGCTATTGGACCTTGGATGTATTTTAAAGGCCAGAGCACAAGGATAGCCTGAGCTCATGATAACACTGACCACACAGGGAAGAGCAGAGGTTGAGAAGATCATCCAGCTCTCAGTAACATGGGATCCATGCAGCGAACCCCTTCAGAAAGCTCTTGCAAGGCAAACAACACAAGGCCTCCTGTGCTAGTTTGTTGCAGAAACTGAAGTATTAGAGCCACCGTGCAGGATACTAACGGTAGAATAACCAAACAAAACCCAGAGCAGGGACACAACTGTCCTGTGCACAGAATTCCAAGCAAGATAGCAACTGTTCCCCTCTGTATGAGGAGGTTCATACAAGAAACCTTCCTGCATGACCAGCCGGTCTGCTCCGGACAAAGTTATAACTGTACAGACCTCTTTTCATAAAGCAACCAAGACATGTTTTTCTTTCAGGCTATGCTGCAAAATAAATCCTTTATAAAAAGGTTTTCAGTGTTTCCTAATACTAGACATAAAGTTTACTCAACTACCAAAAGCGTGTCTAAATGAAGACTATTTTACTGCAAAGATTCATCCCTAACAAAGACCTCAAACGTTGCTATTGCAAAAAAAAAAAAAGCAGTAAGATGGATGAAGAAACATCTTTCTGGTAATGCTCAAGGTTCAAACGAAGGATAACATCCATTATTTCACCAGCTGACTATTTCTTGTTCAATCTGTGGGCCTTCTGCATGTAAAGCATCAAGAACAATGCCGCTATTTCCATTGCAAATGGTATGGCACGCATCTGAAGCACAAAACTGCTACCAGCAAAACAGCCGTATCCGCAGGATACTGAACCTACGGATTCATTATACGTCAAATAAAAAGATTATTTGGTTTATACATGCTCATATGATTTCTGCTTTAAAGTTAAAAGAATAAACAAATGAAGTGGGCTAAAAAAAAAAAAACCCCAACCAAACCCCAAACCATAATGCCCTCACCTTTTCTTTTCCCTTTAGATCTTACTGGGGTTTTAAATAAAGGCCCTCTGGGCTTAAAATTTCTGCCAACATTATCTAAAAACAAACTCCACAGAAGGAAGGATCGAAAGCAGCAGGTGCATGATTGAAATAAAACTCTTAGGAGTGAATATGTTCAGTGCTGCCACTCGGCTGGCAGGGCTGAGGGTGCTGCAAGGCACTTTCACACACCCTCCGGAACATCGCAAAAGGTCTTCAGAAGAAAGAAGAGGCGGACGCTGGACCAACTTGGAGTATTAGGGATTGCACGTTGCTAGCAAAACACAGAAAACCTTAACGTGGAATAAATATAGCATTAACTATTTCCTTTCACCCATTACAGTGAAACTACCTAATAACACCAGTAAAAATGATTCATTGATGCATATGGAAAAAAACAAAGTTCACTGAGAGTGAAGACATGCCAAGAATTCACTAGAAATTAATTTTCAAAAAACCACTTCATGCTCAGGAAAAAAAAATAAAAGATTATATCTATATATATATATATATAGATATAGATAGATATACACTTTAAAATTTACCAACCAAAAATATACTCTCTTACTCTGACATCTAAGTTCTTACATGATTCTATAGAATGGAAACAAAAGAATAATAATAATAAATCTATACATTGAGCTTTGAGGAAAAAGCCTTGAAAATAAATAAAACTTGTTGTAAAATTGAGGTGATCCGTTATTATAAATAACTTCAAAAGACATGAAGAGGAAATTATGACATGTCTGTTTCTGCAGTCCTGATGGAATCTCAGCGCAGGAAACGCATTATCCCAGTAACCTTAGGCACAGCTTGCAACGGTATCAATGGCAACCACTGTGGACTCCACCTTATTTTCTATTAGGCGTGGAGAACCTTGCTATTACACGAAAAATACACAGACATAACATACATTCTGTTGGGGAATGGCTCAATACAGCTACTAAATTCTCTAAGACTGGGACTCTCTCTCCTCCCCCCCCCCCCCTCAAGCCTTGAAAATAAATAAAACTTGTTGTAAAATTGAGGTGATCCGTTATTATAAATAACTTCAAAAGACATGAAGAGGAAATTATGACATGTCTGTTTCTGCAGTCCTGATGGAATCTCAGCGCAGGAAACGCATTATCCCAGTAACCTTAGGCACAGCTTGCAACGGTATCAATGGCAACCACTGTGGACTCCACCTTATTTTCTATTAGGCGTGGAGAACCTTGCTATTACACGAAAAATACACAGACATAACATACATTCTGTTGGGGAATGGCTCAATACAGCTACTAAATTCTCTAAGACTG